GTTGGATTTATAATTTAAACAGAGGAAGGCACCGAAACAGTTTTTGCCTTGTTTATCCTTTTTACAAACAACATTCCTTTGTGGGTTTAGTCAGAGATTTACACTCTTTGCTAATCAACACCAAAATAAATAGACCTTTAAAACTGTCAGTGACACTGGCCAGTTCTGCAGCCTGAGTTCTGAAGGACCAGGCCAGATGGCAAAGCCAGGCCCCTGACACACATAATGTGTGTTCTGTAGCTCTTGGCTTCAGCAGCTTGGGCAGCTGACTGCTTTTTAGAAGGCTTCGGGGGGAGGGAGCAGATTCTCCACTATCCATTTGTTCTGTGGGGCATCTCCAGGAATAAACCCTAAGGTCACATGAGTGGTACTTGACCGTGGTTAAAACCTGCAGTGTACCGGCCAAGGCACAGGCTGGAAATTCTGAACTCCTGGCTGGCCTCCTGCATGTTCTGTGATTGTGTTCCAGTCATGAAGCTTTCCTCTAGGCTCACTGGTGTGTAAGCTAGAGGGAGCGAACTGCCCGTGTTTCTGAATTTTCAAGTACTGTAGCAGGAGGCATTGCTCAAATACGTGGGTGCAGTGAGGATATGAGTTCATCTTGCACAGGGCTGACTGATGGGACAGAACCTTCCTTCTGTTCACCTGGATATTATCTCAACACTAGTGAGGTTAGGAGAGAGGTAGCGTTCATTGCCATATGTGTAGCTGTGGTTCATCTAGATCCTGAGAGAGTTTATTATGAATGTAGCTGAAACATTGTGCTCTGAGCTTTCACGTAGATAATTAACCAGTGGACCGCCTGGGCCTCTCAAAGGCGGATTGTGAGAGGTTCTGATGGGAGAGTGCCCTTCATCCCTCCCCTCCAGGAGATTGCTTTTCTTTCTTTTAAGCTCATGTGATTACACCGATGGCATATTCTAGGTCTACAGAGGACAGAATAACTCACGGGATCAAGTAAATTTTTACATGCAACAAAGCATGTAAACAAGTATTCCTCATCAGTTCTCTCATGGAAAGAGCCCAGGGACAAGCCAAGCACTTCACTGGATTTGCAGACCCTCTGCTTTTGTGGAGGGAATCCTTGCTGGTCAAGTAAAATCTTAGGAGAAGCTGTATTTTGAGAGAGGACTTGAGTGAAGAAGAGACAGCTGCACACGGTGGAGACAGTGTGACCCCTTTGGACCCTCACTGATTGTCTATAGGACCTACTCCGTTCACTCATCCCTCTGAACGTTGAAGATGGCTGTTAGGATGGAATTGTTTGGATGCTCCTGTGTTTTCAAGGGACGCTTATTTTTCTTGTGATTCCTCTTGGTGCCCTGTGATCACACTGCCCCGACAGCAGTGTGACTCTGGATAGCTCTGTGCTGTACCCTGAGTGCGTAAACTAAAGTGCTGGGTTGGAACCAGCTCCGCGTTGGCCTGTTTACTGCTTCTCTACACATTACAGCTTGCTTCCTTCAAATAGTGTTTGAAGAGACCAAAAACATGTTGGGCTGTCATCCAGAGCTTGGCTTCCGCTTCCGCAGCAATGCCATAAAAATGCTCTGTCAAATAAATCCTTGGGAACTGAAAAGAAGCAATTCCCTGCTCCATACGATTGTAGATAATAGAGGCGGGCTTCAGCTGACCACTTGGCTTGCCGCCTGCGGCCTAGGAAAACCGAATTGCACCGCATCCCTTGGCAGTGCTTTGTAGCGATCAGAGTTAATTCTCTGCTTGTGATGGATGAGCTTTCTGTTAAAAGAAGTTTGCACATAGCATTTAACTCCGCTGAGTCTTTTGAATTTCATTAAATGTTATCTTTCCTTATCCTGTACTGTCGCTGATTAGTATATATTCTGAAGTTTTTGAACCCAGGATTAATTCTCTGTTGAGTAAACTTCTAGTGTCAACCAGGGACAGAATCTTTCTATGATTTGGGGGGTGTGTATGTTTTCAGGGCAATGTTTCCCTTTCCCAGCCTGGATATTGTAACGTCCTTATTATTAAGGATCCCAGCTCGAAAGAGATGGAACATTCAAATTAGGATAACTTAGGGAAGTTTTTTTTTTTTTTTACAAAGGGACTACTTAAAAAGGTGAGAATGTGTAGGGGAGACACGGGAGATAGTGTATAACCCAGCAGAGCTGTTACTCCCCCTAGACCAGAAGGGAGGAAAGGAGAGGGGCATTACCAGAAGCTAGAGAGAGAGAGCTGTCTAGAGAAGGCTGTCTCCTCAGGGGCCTGCAGTAGAGACAGCTTGGCAATCCAGGCCACTCACCTCCCCGCTTCCTCCAGTCTCCTACCAGGGCTCCCCACTGGCTGACACAATCAGAAGCCAGAAGGCACAGGAGCCCTTTGATTTGGTCCCCACAGGTCAGCTTCCCAGGGTGGAGAGCAGAGCGTGGATGTGGAGGGCAGCAGGGAGGCATCACGCATAGATCCCAGTGTAGGTGTCCAGTTATTTCAGGGAGGGGTGGGCATAAAAATCTCAATAGAAAACTTAAACTCACTTTTATTTTTAAACAGTTTTATTGAGGTTTGATTGATATACAATAAACTGCACATATTTAAAGTATAAAATTTGATGAGTTTTGATATGTGTACACCTGTGAAACCGTCACCACAATCAAGAGAGCGAACATATTCACCTTCAGAATAAACCCACTTTAATTTAACATTGAAAATGTTCCATATGGTTCTTTTAGGGAGGCGTGGAAGGGTATCATGAAGTGAAGGAATGGCAGGTGCAATTCCAGAAGTGTTGGATCTGGAAAGACACACAAAAAAATGAAAGTCAAGGCAATGTCAAAGCCTGTGAGAACACTAATAGCAAGTAGCTTATAAGAAATTAGAAAAGAAATTGTGAGTTTGAAAGGGTGTTTTTTTTTTGTCTCTACTTTGTATCTGTTTATTGCCATGTATTGAAAACAAAACGAGACAAAAATCTGTGAGTCTTTCCAGCCTGGGTAGTCAGTATTTGAATCTGACAAAATCAGTGATAAGTCAGTATTTATTAGAATCTCCAAGAAAACTGTAGATCGGTTGTTCCAATATGCATTTTATCTGATGTTCATATCATACAACGCGCTCCTGGGGGCAGGTCCAGCCTTAGGTGGGTGTTCTCTGTAATGCCACCCCATCTCTGTGATGTGTTGTTGGTAGCAACGCCTACAGTTATTAACATGACGATTGATGAGGTTTTAGTATGTACTTAGTGACAGAGCCGGGATAGGATTTACTTCTCTGAGCTTTATGCTATTCTGCTTTAAATTATAAAAGCTAGTAAATCATTTGCAAACACATTTTTTACCATTTATTAATAATTGCTTGGTACCCCCCTGACAGCTTATGGAGGTACCGGAGAGTCATGGCCTGGGTTGAGAATGGGCACTGTCAACCTTGGGTGTCCCCGGAGTCCCATTTATTCTAGAGAAATCAGGAGTGCCCGGCGCCACGAAAGCTGGTGTCCAGTGGAGAGTGGAATGTGAGACCCCAGCCCCACTTCATACGAAGAAGAGCACCTCCCTGGCAAAGCCGGGACAAAGGGTGGGCTGTGAAGTTTCAGGGAAGGAAGGGCCTGGCAGGCGAGGAGGGAAGCCTCTGGGGACCCCGTTGTGCCCCAGCAGGGGTGCAGTGGCATCCATTAGTACAGGAGCTGTGACAAGGGCCACACAGCTTGCATGCTGGCCTTCAAACTCGCCTGGCAAGTTCAGGTCCAGGGCCTTTGCACTGTTTATTTCTTATGCCTAGAGTGCTCTGCCCCAGATTTTTGCAAGACTCTCTCTCTCTCTCTCTCTCTCTGCTTAGATTTCTGCCCAAATATCTCCTCCTCAGAGAAGCTTTCTTTTGCCACCCTCTCTAAAGAATCACCTCTGTCGTGATCTCCTTCTACTTTATTTTCCTTGTAGCAGTGATCACTATCAGACATTATAGCATCAGTTGTCAGACTTTTTGGTCTTAGGATCTCTGCACATGCTTAAAAATTATTGAGGACCCCAAAGAACTTATGTTTATGTAGGTTATACCTTTTAAAATTTACTGTATCAGAAATTAAAATAGAAATTTAAAAATACTTTTTGTTCATTGAAAAATAGCAATGATAAATCTATTACATGTTAGCATAAATAGCATGAAAAATAACCATATTTTCCAAAACCAGAGAATTATGTGGGAAGAGTGACATCGTTTTGTGGCTTGTACATGTCTGTGAACAGAAGGAGTTTGTTACATCTGCTGCTGCATTTGGTCTGTTGCGAGACACTGTTTTGGTAGAAGTTGATGAAGAACACCCAGCCTCAAACAGATATGTAGTTGGAGAAGGGAGGGCTATTTTAACAGCCTTTTCATATAGTTGTGGATATTCTATTTTAATATGACACCAAGACTCAACAAGCGATCATTTCTTAAAGGCTAGTTGTTGTGTGGTCCTTGCACCCTGGACATACTTGTGTGAGCCACTCCCAACCTGTGGGTCAGATGGCTGCTTTTTTTTAAGGAAAAGTTCGTCACTGTCTTTTGAAATTATGGTTTATGTAAAGTGGAATAAGAAATACAAATCATCACTTTCATTATACTGTTGAATAACCGTTAAAAAAAAATCACCAAGTCTTAAAAGATTACAGAAGCTCCTTCTAATCAAACATCAACTTCTTGTGTGCACAAAAATTGGAGCACTTTTTTTTGTAGATGTACACTTCATGTTATGGCTACTTTTTTGAGGTAGGAAGTGAAGTTACGTTGATGGTTTCTAACATAGAGCCTTGATATATCTGTTGAAAATATCTAATGTTTGTTGGAGTGCTTTTATTCATTTTTTCAAGTCCTGTTTGTGTCCATTACCTTATGTGAATAAGAGAGAAAATTGCCTTTCAGAAATGTCCTTAAGTCCGTCCAGGAATAGAATTAAACATTCAAGTCGACAGATATGTCCAGTAAATTAGGGAACCACTTTATCTGCTCGTTCAGAATGTTTCAACATCATTAATCCAGAATTTCATGTTTCTATCTTTAAGATCCACACAGGTTTACAGCACCAAATAATCTGGCCCTGTCAGCCCAGCTGCCTTCCTCTGGATGAAAAACTCCTGCCCCAGCTTCTAAAAGAAGCAGGCTACACTACCCACATGGTCGGAAAATGGCACCTGGGAATGTACCGGAAAGAATGCCTTCCAACCCGCCGAGGATTTGATACCTACTTTGGTAATGGAAATACACATGTTTCTTTAACGACTCAGTCTAAGTGCAGCGGTCTCATAAAACACACCCAAGTGTGAGCAAATGAAATAAGTGGAAACTTGAACACAGGGTAGATCAGTCAGCACCGCCGTGGGGCTGCTTTCTAACGCCACTTCCATATACATGGCTCTGTGCTCAGCTCATGGGGGGCATGAGCCCACCAGGAGGCACATACCTTTGCCAGCGTCCTAAATGCCATGTTGGGGACTTTGGGGAGTTTGCTGCTTGCACATCCGAGACCATTGTACTCTTAGAGAGCCTTATTACCAATAGGGGATATGGATTGATTTTTTTTTTAATTCCAGGCAAAACCCAATACAAGAATATTCACTTCACAAAGGTTCAGAATATTTTTTTCCCCATGGACTGGGTTCAAAGATTTTTTTTTCTGGAGATGGTGGAGAAGACTCTTTTCCATTGGCATCCTTCTCCCCTTCTGAAATCTGTTTTTGGAATCACTAGATTGGAGAAGATAAATCAAAAATTAAAATCAGAGAGTAAATAGCAAAGGGTAATAGGAAGGAGAATAAGAAATAATAAGAAGTATTTTATGGACTTGACAGCCCTATAAAAATAAATGTGGAACCTAAAGTTTGTTTTAGAACGTGCCCTCTTTTAACCTGTTACAAACCGTGTCTTACTTAACGACCTATTTATCTTGCCAGTGGCTGTATATCTTTCAGTCAAGTTCTTTTCACGTTGAGGTATCTTTCTGTCTAGTTATTTAGCTACCTATCTGCTTCCCATTTGTCTCTTCATTTATTTACAAACTGCCATATCCAAAAGGGAACACACATCAAATATAAGAAGTTTAAAAATAAATAAAGTGAAAAATCAGGATGAGTAGAAAAAGAGAATAGTTACATGACACCAAATTACAAAAAAACTGCATGGCTCTTGGCGGGCTTCACATTCAGCTCTGAGATTCGAGATTTCTTATGTTCAAATTAAAAAAAAAAAAAGGAAAAGGCTGTAAGAGTCACATTATTTATAAGGTGAATGGAAACCAGATGTTCAGGAAGAGTAAGGCATTTTCTGGCTCTCAGACCTGAGAGAAATGTCTCCTTTGGGAGAAGGTGAGGTGGGCAGTGTCCTCAAAAACATCATTTAGTAATAAAGTGGTGGGTTTCTTGTAGATGTTTCTTGAGGCATCCCCTTTTATTCACGCTAGGGCCGAGCTCCAAAGTACATTTCAGGAAACGTGATTATATGGGGCCCAAACAGTGCAGTGGAGGCACACAGCTCTGTAGTGTCTTGTTGGATCCTGCTTAAGAATGGAGATGCAAGGACATCAGATGTGAGACCGTGTTCTCTGGCAGACCTCGCTAAGCAATCATGGCATTCTTTCCTGATGAACCTGGATAGATCCTCAGTATGCTCAGATAGCTGTTAAAAGTTGGAATTGGGGGGCCGGCCCGGTGGCGCAGTGGTTAAGTGCGCACTTTCTGCTTCTCGGCCCAGGGTTCATGGTTCGGATCCCAGGTGTGGACATGGCACTGCTTGGTAAGCCATGCTGTGGCAGGCATCCCACATATAAAGCAGAGGAAGATGGGCACGGATGTTAGCTCAGGGCCAATCTTTCTCAAAAAATAAAATTAAAAAAAAAAAGTTGGACTTGGGTGTAAGACCTCTTTGTTATTTTGGAGTCTAGAGGGCTGCACAGTCCTATAGGTCCTTTGAAAAGTTTCAGTCAGGCCTTTGCTAAAAGATGGATTGATACCCAACTCTCACAAGAGGAAAGAAGGACTATGGATATTTTAAATTTTTTTGTTAAAAACCAAGTTATATATTTAAAAATTCAGCTGGACGGGAAGTCAATGATATCCTTTTATGAGAATTAAGAAGCCTAACCAGGGCTTAGATGAACAGACACTCCACATTCCTGTGGAATGGAGACTTGCAGACAAGGAGGGGATAATGACCATCAGCTGTTATCACTGTTCTGACTTAGACGTTCTGGTAAAAAGCAGTCAGATGATTGTGGGGCTGGTTGCACAACTCTGTGAATACACTAAAAACCATTGAGTTGTATGTTTTAAATAAGTGACTTGTATGGTATGTGAATTAAATCTCAAAGCTGTTAAATAAGGCAGTCAGAGATTTAGTTGTTCAAAAATTATTTTCTTATTTTCCCCGAAAAAGCATAGCCTGCCATCTTTAGACTTAGCATGTAAGTTTGGATTTGTGAATTACTGTTATAAAAAGCTCTGTGTGATTGTCACATGGTTCCTTGGTATCAGTTTGGCCAAGTGTGTCAATATATAGTTCTATTTGTGGAATCCTCCTATTTGTAATATCTTTTTAATATTAGTGGTTCATGTACCTTTTAATCAAGTGTATCCTATGTATATATTCTCTCCAATGATAGAAAACAGTTTACATTTACAGATAGAGAACCTGAGTGATTTCCTCAAGCTCTAATACCCAGGTGTTATTAAAAACCCCAAATAGAACCCCAGGGTCCTTCCCTCTGATCACCCATATAAGGGCTGAAGTTACTTTTATGGATACATTTCTTTCTCTGTTACATATTAATTAGGAAACACATTGGATTTCCCTTTCCTTTATATAGGAGAAAAGATTAGTGTTTAAAAAGTTATCTTAAGACCAAGGTATTCATCATATTCAGGACCTTGAATTTAGTGAATCATGGAAAAGGAGAAAATTAATTAAAAATGAATTCATTTATTATGTAAGCTGTGTAGGGCTTTTAGTTGTGATTACAGGGAATGTTCAGGACTGGGGAAAGGGCTAGGCCATTTTTATCATCCTCATTTTAAGGTTAATAAGCACTATTTGTCACGAGAGAGCTCAGAGTCCAGCACAGCTTATTTTTTTTAATAGCTATATCGAGGTGTAATTCACATACCATGCAATTAACGAATAAAGTGTACAATTCAACGAGTTAATAAATTCACAGGGTTGTGCCACTGTCATCACAATCCAGTTGTAGAACATTCCATCACCCCAAAAGAGAAACCCCATCACCATTAGCTGTCACTCCCCATGTTCACCCAACCCCACCGGCCCTAGGCAACCACTAATGTACCTGTTGTCTCTATAGATTTGCCAACTGTAGACATTTCATATAAATGGAATCATATAATATACAGCACAGCTTATTTTAATATTCTAGGAATATATGGAACATTTGCAGAAACAACTTAGTTGTGAAAACCCATTTCCTTATATGTTTAAATTGTGGGATAGGCAATTGATGCCCTTTAAATTTGGGGTGAGATTGAGATCACCATTGGTGGAAAAATCTAATTTCAGTGCCTCATGTTGTTTTGATCTTTTGGCTCTGTTAGGTTATGTCGAGAGATCCTCTGTTTGAAAAGGTTTGTGTCTTTCGCCAGTGGGTGTCAGCATCTGACTGAAGATGATTTCTCCTAGAGCTGCTTCTATAAATAACCTTGAAGCCAGTCTCTCAAGGTCAATGTTAACATTATTTGAATCCTGCGTTCATTTATGTGATCACCTCAGAGTAAAATCTTGCAACAAATTACATTAACTATATACTGTTTTGGCCATTAGATAGCTTTAAGAGATTACAATGTTATCCCCTTTATTGACTTTGAACTCTGATTTTTTTTAACATATTTCTTTGGAATCACCCACTTTGAGAGTTACATGATAGAGCTTGTGTTGTAAGACTTGGTGAGGAATGGATTGGGATATTTTTACAATGGCATTTGAGTGCCTTCTGCTAGCAAATATAGAGATGTTAAGAAATGGTGCTCTCATGAGCCTTGTCATTTGATTTGCCTTGTCATGGGTAATCAATTGCATTAGGCAATTAAATGCTGAAACATGAGTTTGCTTAACAAGTTTTATGCTATGCTACTTTATCTCCCCTTCTCGTTGTAGGGTATCTCCTAGGTAGTGAAGATTACTATTCCCATGAGCGCTGTACATTCATCGACGCTCTGAACGTCACACGATGTGCTCTCGATTTTCGAGATGGTGAAGAAGTTGCCACAGGATATAAAAATATGTATTCAACAAGTGTATTTACCGAAAGGGCGACAGCCCTCATAACTAACCATCCACCAGAGAAGGTAAGTCTTGCTTCTTTATTGATATCAAAATTGTGTTAAGATAGCATCTCTTCAGATAAATAGAAGAAAAAGCTGCTGTCATTTAGGGAAAAATCTAATGAGTTCCAGGGGAGTAGTTTTAAAATTTTAGAGTACATCAGTATCAGCCTGGGAAGCTTGTTAAAAATAGAAATTCCTGGAGCCCACCTCTAAGAGTCTGATTCATTGGGTCTGAGGGAAATCCATACATCTGCATTTTAAAGAAACTCCTCAAGGGTGGTTCTGCTCCAAGTCATTCCCAGGTCACACTTTGAGGAGTACTGTGTCTATAGTGTTTTAGCAGAGATGTAGTCTTATTATTTTGGTGTATTATGTGCATGTGCTGTAAGTAATTAGTAAATTGACTTTTTTTAATGATAGGCTTATGCACAAGATGAGGCTTTATTATGGCAAACTTTCTGTTAGGAGATCAACAAACTTTAGGTTCAGGGTAAGACCTCTAACTTTGTAGTTTCCCCCCCAAGATTATTTTGGCTATTCTAGGTGTTTTATATTCCCACGTTAATTTTAGAATCAGCCGGTCAATTTCTACCAAAAAAAAAAATTGCTTAGATTTAGGTTTTGTTGAATCTGTAGACCAACTTTGGGAGAATGGACATCTTAACAGAATTAAGTGTTCCGATCCATAAATGTGGTGTACTGGTGAGTCTGTTTTTCACGTTTACCATGCTGAAGCTGTTGTGTATGTCATGTGCTGAAATCTTTTGACTTATCTATAGGTAAAAATAGAAAAGAGTCCAAATAGCCTTAAACATTTTTTTCTTAACCTAGAGTTAACCTCATAAGCTAAAGTTTAAGCTAAATTCTCTGGGTTTAGCTTATAAATGCCTTTAAAATTGGGTCAGATATTTGTGTTGTCAGATATTGGGTTCACAATATGGCCGCATTAAGAACTGCATCAGTCCACCTAGGAAATTAATCTTTCAACAGGACCTGACATAGCAAATTACAGAACGTGCAGAGTTACGTGGTTCTTCCAGTTTCCTGCACTTGGCCTCTTTGAAAGTTGCTGAAGGTCCTCAGTGCAGATCACAGCTGGATTCTGGTTTATAGTGCTGTCCTGACTTGGTACCTGGCCGGTGACTCCCTTTCTGAGGTGGTTTCTTCCTGGCTTTGTCTTTGCCTCTCCAACTCAGGATTGGGGTGTCTGGTGTCTGTCCTCAGCTTTGCTCCACTTTTGGCTTTCTATCACTCTTACATGCTGACATCTTGGAGTAGCCATGCTTGCTGTAGATCATGGAAGAAATTGAACATTCTCTCAAATACGTAGACATACGCAGATTTTAAATCTAGATCTAAGCCAATACTCAGTCGGAAAGATAACTGCTTGGTAATTGGCTTACGTTCAGGTGTCTTCTGTATGCTTGACATCTTATAAATACAGCTAAAAACCCAAGAACAAGATAAAATCTAAGGGAACTGCGGTCGTTGTCCGGCCCTTTGAGGTAGGCACCATTTTACAGACAAGCAAACTGGCTTAGAGAAGTTAAGTAACTTGTTCAAGGTCACAGAGCTATTGAAAGTCAGAATCAGAATTTAAACCCATGCTGTTTGACTCCAGAGCTCAATGCACTTAACAAGCCTCCCTAGTTACAGTTAACATCCGAGACCAGAGATTGTGAGGCCCAGTGTATGATTCAGTGTGATGGTTCCAATCCTGACAGTATTCTGGGATCATCTGGAAAGCTTGTAAGACGTACCAATTCCAATATTGTGATTTATCGGTCTGAGGTGGGACCTTGTCACTGGTGTTTAATTACCCCTCTGCCCTCACTTCTCAGCAGTGATTCTGATGTGCAACCACTGTTGACACCCCTCAAACACAGGCGGCAAGCAGAAGCCAGCTGCCTTTCACAGCTTGGGTCCGGGGGAAATCCATACATCTACATTTTAAAGAAACTCCTCAAGGGTTTCACTCCCTTAACCATGCAACAACTGTAATGTGCCTGCAATAAAAATTAGTTCCCATTACGGAATAATAGAGTATTCTCTCGCAGTGCCCAGAACATGAAGCGGATAAGAGGAAGCAGCTGGGGTGAAATCATTCTCTGTGGGTGGGCTGTCTTAATTGGTGTAGTAGGGAAAGCACAGGAACTGAGGAAAATGGTAGGCCCTAAGAGCTCGCAAGCCATCCAAACTAGAGTTATGGTAGGGTACGGCTCATAGGTAACATTCTGGAAGCTGCCAGATGAGAGGTGGTCATTTTCCCACGATGTCTAAAATACTCCTAAGCAGTATCCAGCATTCCCAACATTCTCACAGTAAAGTTTCAAGCAGAGACATAAATGAATGAAATCATTAATAGCCAAGTAATAGCGCCAGAAAATTTAATACAGCAAGTGCGGATCTTTACATTTTCAATTCTCAGTAAAATGATGTGTCACACAGTTCCGGGAACTGCCCTTTTTTTCATCGTTTTATCCCAATGTTGAGTCTAATTCTGTGCTGATTTCTCAGGTGCTATAAATAGCCTGTAACAAAGGCAGCTTGTTCTAAGATGGAGATCATTAAAGAAGTTCACACAAAGTATCCACAAGAAAGCTTAGAAATGTGCTTATTTTAAAGAGCATTGGAGGGGAAAAAAGCACATGGAGCTGTTCTGTCACAGAAACACAGTTGGTGCTGGACTCGGGCAGATGCTGCTAATAACCATTGCACATGTGTCGGGAAGGAATGTCTTTCTCTCGTTCTCCCGGATGGTTCCCTTAGTACTGACACTGCAGTGTGAAAGGAGCATATTCGTAAAATATCTTTTGGTTAAAAATAGCCCCCTCAGCACTGCAGAAAAAAAATAAATGTTTTCTCACACACCTGACCTACTAGAAGCAAATGTGAATTTTCAGTGGTAGACTCTTGCTTTTCCCCGACACAATTTGGAAAGAAATGTCTTAATTTGAAGTCAAAGATAGAATAACAATTTAAAAACGTGTCGTGTGCTCTTAAAAAAATTTATACTTTTAATTAGGGATATATACTAAAGAAGTGAAAATAAGGCTTTCTTCTTCACTGAAATTAGATTTCTTAGCATGGTGAGGATATTTAGAGTATATATCTTAGGAGTCGAATGGTATAATAAGAAAGGGAAATGATCCCTTAGCATCTTATTAATATGCTAATAACTTCAGGTAATAATGTCATACTTTTTTTTTTTTTTTGCTGAAGAAGGTTAGCCCTGAGCTAAAGTCTGTGCCAATTTTCCTCCACTTTATATACAGGTTGCCTCCATGCCATGGCTGAGAGTAGTATATAGGTCCATGCCAGGGATCTGAACCTGTGAACCTGGGCTGCCGAAGCAGAGCACACCAAACTTAACCACTACTCTACAGGGCCGGCACCCAATAATGTCATACTTTTATGTAATACTTAAACATTTGGTCATGATTTACATCTAGGATTCCATTTCATATTCTTAAGAAACCTGAAAGGGTTACAGTTAGGGTTGGTGTAAAGGCAGTAGCTGTAATTGGGTTGGTCAGAGCAGGAATAGGGACCCAAGAAAGAGCAAGGGAGAGATCAGGGCGCAGCATAAAACCTGGAGATCCTTGGAGATCCAAGTCAGGTCTGGGACTCCCATGTTTCGAATCTGATGTGAGTAAGGTCAGTAGACAGTATAATAATAGTGAGCTGTCCCCAGGATGGCGGCTGCTTGCGCAGGCCGACAGTGAGCTGAGGCCCTGGTGGACAGGTGTGGGGAAATTGGCTGCTGCTGTGCACTGGGATGGTCATAGGACACGTGGCTGCAGGGGGGTCCTGAGTGTGGCTGGAGAACCTTAGGGCCCTAGTTAATTCTTTTGTCCACTGGGCCACCATGTAGTACTAAGAACAGCACTCTATTACTTTTTTTCCAATTTAAAAATAGTATAGAAATGCTTCACATCTAGCACTGTTGAGGAATTAGTTGTTTCACAAATACAGTTCACCTCGCGGGTGCTGAAACTTTATTTTTACAATATTGAATGGAAATGCTCTAAAATGTGTTACACTGGTCCTCACCTCTTTGAATGGACTGCACTGTCCATCATTGTGCCTCCTTCTCATCACCTGGAGCCATCCTGATGTGCATTAGGCTGTTTGCCCCTACACTTGATGGCCCTAGATTACTGCTGCTGAAAAAGGAAAAGAGATAACTTGTTTTGTTCAAGGAATAGCTTCATCCATACTTGCTAGTTATTAGGATCCAGTCCACAGGTCATGTGAGGCCTTTGCGTGGCCTGTGACAGTCACAGGACAGGCTGCATGTCATCCTCAGAGGCTGTTTTCACTTCCTCTTCTCAGTTAGGCCCCTTTGGTTTGAACTAACGGAAGCCTGACCACTGGAAAAATGGAGGAATTGCTGTAGTTTTATCATTTTAAACCCTTCAGAATGGTGGTCATTCTTTTAGCCACTAAGGAATAATTATTGGAAAGATTTTCAGGTAATTTTTTACTATATTTGGCAAAGTGAGTAGAATGATTTCCATACTGAGTATTTATAAGATCCTTTAATGATGGTCCCAGAATCACTGTCTTTTTCCCTGGCATGGTTAGAAGGACTCGCCCCTGCCACCCTCCTGGCCATCCCCTCTAGGAGTCACTGGCTGGTTGGAAATAACCTGCCCTTTCTCTCCTTCACGGTGTCGGTTGCCATGTTGCTGCTAATGACCTGATGAACACATCTCCTCCTTGAGCAGAGAGCTCCCTCTCCTTGCTCCACCCCTGCCCACAGCAGAGAACCCAGACCAGGGTCACAAACTCATGTGTGTAAGGATTAGGCTGCTGACCTAAGTAAGTGAAGCTGCTCAGTAGAACAGGGGGGAGACGCTAGAAAATTGGACAGCATTTGGGAGTGGGGTCTCTCTTTCTCAAACTCCAGCCATTTGTTACCAGATGGAGTGTGGGCGTAGAGTTGTCAGAAGGTCTGGTTTTTCAAGCAAATTAAAACAAAACCAGATTTTTATGTGCTATTTCCTGATTTTTAAAACTTCATGTGGGCTACAAATTGTTGAGGCCTTTCATTTTTTAATGCTGTTTCCAACTAGACCTCAGCTGGTGGCTGGGGTTGGCTCAGTACAGTGTTGAAGGACCCAGACAGCTGCTCCCAGCACAGACCCTCACTGCACTGTTGGTCCCGGATGCCCCCGCGCTTCCTTTCCCCTCCGACTGTCTCAGCCCAGGGTCCTTCCTCGCCACCGGGCAGAGCATCTGCTCGATTCCCTTCCCTATGGTCTGGGGGAACGTGGAAGATTCGATGTGACCTGTGTGTCTAGAGTAGAAAGTGTGTGTCGAGGGCGAGCAGAGGCAGAGCTAGAATAGTGTCAAAGCTTTTAGTCTCGAGTTTGGAGTTGGAATTTGGGATGTTTTCCTCTGGAAATAATGTACAAATGAAGCATAGGTTCTGCATTATCGTGGTTTTCATTCTGTCACCTACTTCCTTATTTAAATGGATTTTAAAGTGTGACTTTGATATTTAACAGCCATTTTTAACATTTTGATTTGAGGGGAAAAGGCGTTTCTAATTCCGAAGATCTGAACCAAAAATAGTCTTTTGGAGGTCTTTCTATGAATGCTCCTTACTCTATCACAGGGAGGTATAATAGATAATTTTAAAACAGTGTATAACAATGAAGAATGAAATATGAGCCCCCCACCCACAGTCTGCTTTTAACTTCTCCTCATTCACTTAGGAGATTTAAGTGTCTCGAATACTTTAACAGAAATATGTATTTATTCTTGGGTTGAACTGGTTGTTGTCTTTTTGGGGGTTTTCAACTCATTAAAGAATTCTGTACTACGGGGCCGGCCCAGTGGCATGGTGGTTAAGGTCACGCCCTCTGCCTCAGTAGCCTGGGGTTTGCCAGTTTGGATCCCAGGTTCGGACCTACGCACCGCTTACTAAGCCACACTGTGGCAGGCATCCCACGTATAAAGTGGAGGAGGATGGGCACAGATGTTAGCTCAGGGCCAGTCTTCCTCAAGAAAAAAAAAAAGAATTCTGTACAAGCACAATGAAGAGAGTGCTTTCAGAAAAGCTCATCAGAAAGGAGAGGCTGACTTGGAATACCACTGATGTTAGATGCTGTAAACTGGTGGAAGAGGTAAAATAGAATCAATCTATCACACTCTTTAGTTTCCAGGAATTAAACTGGCCCTACGTTTGGTACTAGATCAAAGACTAACAAGGCATAGTCTTTCCTTATTTTTTTCATAAAAACATCAAAAATCCTTAACCCTCTTCTAAAAGATGTGAACTTATTTTTCAGCTAAAACAAAAAGTTAAAGCGTCTCTTGGTACATATCCACCCTGTAATAGTGCAGTTTCCAATAGGAAATTGCTCTGCAATTAGTATGAACTTGAGCAAGTCATATAACCTTTCCAAGCCTCAGTTAACTTATCTGTAAAATGGATGTAACATAGGGTGGTTTTGAGTATTAAAAGAGGTAGAATATGTAAATCTTGATAGTATGTAGCACATAGACAACATTTAATGTGTGGTCGTTATTATTGATATTATCATTTGTTTGGATCAGAGACTTCCAGGCCATTTTAGAACTCAAGGTTTTATTTTTTATTTTTTTTGTCTTGTGCCTTGTTACATTTTTCTAATATCTTTATTGAGACGTAATTCACATACCATAAAATTCACCCATTTCAAGTATACAATTCAATAGTAAGTTCAATTAAATAGTAAATTGTGCAGCCATCACCATGATCTAAGTTTAAGACATTTTCATTAGCCATTAGCAGTACATATTAACACTCACCATTCCTCTCCACCCGCCAACTCCCTGCAGCTCCTGGCACCCGCTCATTTACTTTCTGTCTCCGTAGATTTGCCTCTTCTGGACATTTCATACAAGTGGAGTCGTACAGAATGTGGTCTTCTGTGATGGGCTTCTTTCACTTAGCCTGATGCTTTCAAGGTTCATCTATGCTGTAGCTGTGTCAGTCCCTCACTCCTTCTTCTGGCTGCGTAGTATTCCTTTTATTGCTGTATATTGTTGAAAATAATACCCCATTTTGTTTCTCCATTCATCAATTGGTGGACGTTTGGGTTGTTTCCTCCTTTTGGCTATTATGGATAATGCTTCTGTGAACATCCATGTACAAGTTTTTGTGTGGATATATGCTTTTGTTTCTCTAGGAATGGAAATGTTGGGTCGTGTGGTAACTGTGTGTTTAACAATTTCAAGAACTGCCAAATTGTTTTTCAAACTGGCTACACCATTTTCCATGCCTGTTAGCAGTGCGTGAGGGTTTCAATTTCTCCACATCCTCAGCAACGCTTGTTATTTTCTGGGTTTTGTATTATGACCATCCCAGTGGGTGTGAAGTGGTATCTCAAAGTGGGTTATTTTTTCTCTTTTTTCTCCCCAAACCCCCCCCAGTACATAGTTGTATAGTTTCTAGTTGTGAGTCCTTCTAGTTGTGGCATGTGGAATGCGGCCTCATTGTGGCCTGATGAGTGGTGCCATGTCTGTGCCCAGGATTCAAACCAGCAAAACCCCAGGCCACCAAAGCAGAATGAGAGAACTTAACCACTCGGCCACCGGGCCGGCCCCTCAGAGTGGTTTTGATTTCCATTTCCCTAACGACTAATGACATCTTTTCACGTGCTTATTAGTCCGTTTGTATATCTTCTTTGGAGAAATTCTATTCAAATTCTTTGCCCATTTTGTAATTGAGTTAATTGTCTTTTATTATTGAGTTGTAAGAATTCTTTATATATTCCAGATACAAGTCCCTTCTCAGATATGTGATTTACAAATATTTTAACCCATTCTGTTGTCTTCGTATTACCTGATATTACTTTTATTACCTGATAAATCTGGACTTCTCTCTCTCTATTTAATGCTTACATGCCCTCTTAACTGATTTGCACAAACTCTCTTTCCAGCCTCTATTTCTCTACCTTGCTCTCCAGTCTGTCCACCAGCCCCTTCAGGTCCCTGAAGAATACCTGAAGCCATACGACTTTATTCAAGATAAGAACAGGTATCACTATGCAGGAATGGTGTCCCTTTTGGATGAAGCAGTGGGAAATGTCACCGCAGCCTTAAAAAGCCGTGGGCTCTGGAACAACACGGTGTTCATCTTCTCTACAGGTAAGCCTGTCAATAGGAAAATCATCTCTTGGCAAAGCCTGGGACATGGTATTCGATAAATGGAATGAAGACAAATTGGAACATTTAGCAGTTCTTTATTGAAATAAATGCTAACTGCAAGAGTAGAGACATGATAATAATGGCTAGATAGATGTGTCTAAGGAAAAAGAATTATGGGCTTTCCTTCCCTTCCTTCAAATATGAAAGTATTCTGGGAGTATGCTTAAAAACAAGTGCTCACTGAGTAAATGTGAGTGGACATCATGCATATGCAGGGTAGCTGGGCAGTGAACCCCCAGGTGGCTTGTTCTCAGCAATCTCTACAGCCCAGGCATCCTCTATGAATAGGACTTCCACTGACTAGCAGTGTCTCTGTATCAGAGCAAAGAGGCAGATTGAGACATTATGAAGACATATAGGAAATGGAGCCACTTAAATCTAGGCTAGAGTCTCCAAGTATAGATTTTTTAATATTAAAATTTTCTGACAATAAAAGTCATACTTGTTGATTATAGAAAAAAAGGAATAAGGAAAATTTTTGAAAATCATTTTCGTTATGACAATGTCATTCTGATTCCTAATCTGTTATATATGTGATTTTCCCCCCCTCATTAAACATAGTTTTCTAAAATTTCCCTGTGATGTGCTTTGGGTGTAGATCTTGGTTTATTCAGTATGCTGAATACTCAGAACTTTCTATCTGAAAATACAGATTCTTTTGTTAGGGGAAATATTCTTGTATTATTTATTTCACAATTGTTTGGTCCCCCATCTCATCTTTCTCCTATTCTGTCTTTACAAAATTCCTGTTATTTGGATGTTAGATCAATCCTCTAATTTTCTTAGTTTTTTCACTCTCTCTTTTCTTTATTTTTCTTCTACTATTTGGGAAATTTTCTTATCATTATTTTGTAACCATTCTATTGAATTCATTGCAACCACCATGTTTTTTAGTAATCAAGAACTCTTTCTTGTTTTCTGATAATTCCTTTTTGTAAAGTTCTGTTTTTATAGATGCAATAATTTGTTTCTCCAAGGCCTGTGCTCTTAACCATTAATTTTATATATGTGTGAGTGTGTATGTAGGCATGTGCATACATATACTTATATGTATGTATACACATACATATACTTTTAAGTTTGCTTGGACTCCCACATTGTGTCTCTTCCTTCTAAGGTCATTTGCATCTTTGTTTTGGTTTATCTTTCAAAAAGGAGGCTTTTTCAAATCCCTAGACATCCTTGGCTAAAACCTAAGAATTTTATTAGAAATTCCAAGGGTGAGGTCAGGGCTTGTCAGCTGGTGAGTTTTACTGTAAAGTGACTGTGTATGGGATGGGAGGTGGCATGTTAAGGAATTAATCTGGGTATTCTACTCATAGTTTGTTTTTCTTCAGAGTTGTTCTGTTTTCCTTTTAATTAGTCATAGTTATTGAATCTAGCATTTATTGAGTGCTTACTATGTATAGGACATAGTTCTAAGCACTTTCCAAGAATTAGCGCAGTTAATCCTCACAGTAATTCTCTGGGGACTACTATGAGCCCATCTTGCAGATGTGAGAATGGAAGCACAGAGGCTAAGTACCTTGCCGAGCGTCACACAGCCAGACGGAGCCGGGCCTCCACCTTTTGGGCCCTGCTGGTCTCCTGCCTCTGAGATGATGATCTGAACGTTCTCGTTAGACCTCATGATACAGCAGAGCTCTCCCCGTGGTGTGCTGCAATACCATCTACTGAGGAGCCTGCGCAGGGCCGGGGGTGGTGTTCACCCTGAGCAGCCTGTTCCGTTGCTTGAGTGCTTTACAAACACTGTCATTTTCTAAGTATGCCGTCTGCGAGAAGGGTTGAATATAAGATAACATTTGTGTTCCCCCCCAAAACTTACCCTTCAGAAAAGAAAGAGGCATCTTATACTTACCTTACAAGATCTCATCTTCTGACAGTGTTTCTCAGTTTCCTTTGCCTTGAACAGCCCTGGTAAAGCACTTTGATCAGTGCTGGTATTGAATGCTTGTAGAGGTCACTGAAAAGAATCAATAAAACGGGAGGCCAAGACATTTAATACTGATTTAGTAATTATTCCTGGGAAATGACCGCACGGTTGCAAGAATTGGAAGTTGTAAGTTTATATAACTTATAACTTTGTTGTGGAGATCATAGTTATACAATTTAAGGATAAATGGATTCCTGAAATGAGAGCGTATGTGGATTAATGTGTCATATATAGACTGAAAGGTGCTCAGACAGCAGGGAAGATGGTAGCTCTGGAAAACTGTTAAGTATCTCGGAGTGGCTCCTGTGACAACAGATAATGATGTCCGGTATGCATGGGAAGAAGTGGAATAAAATTTTTTCATGCTATGTGAGAGTGCAAAGAAAAGCAGTATTTTGACATCGATAGAGCTCTTTTGTAAACATTGATAACATATTATTAATGCAAGTTGCCAAAATAGCTTTTGGAGCTTCTCAGTGAGAAGATGGGGATTACTTTATTCAAGGGTCGTCTTGTATTCCAACACTATGATAGATTAATGGATGTATTAGTCTCGCACCATCTTGACTTTATTGGGCTAAATCCAACTTTGTCTTGTGTATGTATTTTGATTATACTGCTGAATTCAGTTTGCTAGGGTTTTATTTAGGATTTTTGCATCGTTTCAGAAGTACACGTGGGGTTGGTGGTTTCTTTTCTCTCTGTCAGGCTTTGCTGTCTTCATTGTGCTCACTTCAGACAACAGTTTGGATGGTTTCCCACCTTTTTCTGTGCTCTGGAATAGTTTACAGGTTGTTTGAAAGATCTCTCTGGTTAAGCTGGTCCCTGGAACTGTTTTCGGAGGCTTTTTTTTATTATCTCCATAGTTTAAATTTTTTGCTGAATTATATCTAGGTGTGGGTCTTTAAAATACTTTAAAATTAATTTTGCCTGAACTACAGTAAGCCATTTGATCTGCATGCTAAGATTATTTTTCACTCCAGGAAATTTCCCTCGTTCATATTTTAGCTTATTGCTTTTGTTCTGCTTGATTTGTTTCTCAAGAATATCTTTAATTAGTTGGTTGAATCACTGACTCAGCTTTTCTCTCATTCTCAGGTTTTTGGTTTTTTTCTCAGTCTTCTGGAGCATCACCTGTTAGACATTTTTGCAATATTAATTCTGCTCTTTAATATCTCCAACATAGATTATTATTGATTGTGTTTTTACTTCCTCTGCAAGCCTTTCTTTGCATCAATCAGTTCCTTTTTCTTCTAGGCTTGTTAGTAATAATAATGACTACTGTTTATTAAGTATTTGCTGAATGCCCAGGCCCTGTTCTAGAGCTTTTCCTATACTTCCTCATTATTGGTCATGTTGTAAGCATTAAAAGCTCAAAGTAACTTTGTGAAATAGTTTCCTTTATCCTCATTTTATAAGTGAAGAAATCAAAACTTAAAGAGATTAAGTGAAGGTTAAGGTTAAGTGGCCCAAGGCCACTGCTATGGTCTGAATGTTTGTGTCCACACAAAATTCACATGTTGGAATCCTCATCCCCACTGTGATGGTGTTATAAGGTGGGGCATTTGTGGGGTGATTCGGTCATGAGGGTGGAGCCCTCATGAATGAGATTAGTGCTTTTATAAAAGAGACCCCAGGGAGGCCCTAGCCCTTCCTCCGTGTGAGGACACAGTGAGAACTCACCAGCTATGAACCAGGAAGAGGGTCCTCACCAAAAGGCGACCATGCTGGGGCCTTGATCTTGGATTTCCCAGCCTCCAGGACTGTGAGAAATAAAATTCTGTTGTTCGTAAGGCACCCAGTCTCTGGTATTTTGTTATAGCAGCTTGAATGGACTTAGAGAGCCAAGCATCTAACAAACAGAAGAGCCAGAATTCAAACCCAGACCTTGAGGTCAATACCTGTTAACCACATTCAGTTGTGCTTTTGCATCTCATCTTCTTCTCCTTTTACCTCACCCCATTGTCCCTTCTCTCTGCTTTTGGCTTTCTACACTTCTGTTCATGGAACCCATGCTTTTCCTGAATCTTTCTGAATAGAACTTTTCTAAAATCTTCATTTCCATGGTAAATCGTTACCCGGTATAGACTCTTCCTCTGAGTATAAGCAGTGAAGGCTCTGTGGTCTCCTGGCTTCTGGTCACTGTTCGCTGGTAATTCCTTCTCAGATCTGCAGCTTGGGGTCACACTGATGCCCACAGCTCCCTCAGTTCCCAGTGACCTGTAGGCACCGAGCCTCCTCCAGTCTTTGAACCTGATGGACCTGCTTGACATTTTCTCCTCTTGGCTGCCTGGTTGTTTGACGTGCTGAAATAACCCCAGCTTGCACAGCTACCAGACTTCCCACCTCCATCCCTCAGAGCTTTACTTTTGGGGGTATTTTCCAAGATACAGTGTGCCCCAGTGTCAGACTCTTTTCTTCTCCTGCCCGTTTTTTCCTGGGAGTTGTGATCTCTAACTGTGTAGAGGAAATTGAGGAGGTCATACTTGTCTGGCCATGTCAAAAATGGGCACTCCCCCTCCAAGGCTGCCTTCCTCCCTCCTTTCAGATGGGAGGGCTGGCTGTGTGTCATGAGGTAAACAGGGCAGGCCAGCCCTTGTTTCCTAGCTCAGCTTCTTCAGCCTTACAGCCTATGGAAATTTCTCCAAGGTTCTGGCATTATAGGTTGTGTCAGTCTTGTTTTCCCCTGGTGGTGAGTTTTCATCTTATTCTGCGTCTTTGTTGTTTTAGCAGGTTGTTGGTTAAGAGAAACAGCACCAGCGGGTTTAATGAGGAAGATACCATCTTAGCCTGGGTTCCTATCACCACGGCTGATCTTTGTAGTCGCTAAACTCCAGGAATCCTCACAGGAACCTGACCCTGAGTAAAATTAGAGCCAGCTCTGGAGCTACTAGATCATGAATTAAAACTAGGAAAACCGATGCTGAAACCTTGAAGAGAAAACAGCAATTGATCTCAACATCTTTATGTAGCTGTTGTGTTTATATCAACTCTTATCAGAACAACC